TCCTTCTATAAAGTTATATTCACATAAACAGGTCATTCCAGTAGCTAACAATAAGCAACTAAAATCAATTGGAACACATCATCACATACAGCCTTTTAAAAACTGCATGACACAGGCTATAATCAAGAAAATAAAATACTTAAGGTCATGGGTAAATTTCTTATTCACAAATGAAACCACAGAATAGAGGCTGTGAATAATAATTTGTATCTTCCCACATAAATTCTTTAAGCTTCCCTCCCTTGGATGAGCTCTCACTCCCCTGAGGGTAGAAAAAAGCAAAGTTAGTGAGCCCTAGAGGACACAGCAGAGAAAGGAGTCCAGGTGTTCCAGCTGCATCTCTTGATGATCACCAGGCCCCCTTTTAAGCTCCTAGGAAGAGCACTTTATACCCTCATGTATTATTTTCCAGTCTATAATAAGATGCCTAAATGTTAAGCATTTAAAGTGCTGCTTTTTAAAGTGTTGTCATAACAACAGGAATAAAATGACGAATGTAACTGGAGTTTGAAAGGGCTGACTTAGTTTTAAGTCCATTGCTTTACCTTCATGTTGCAAGGGTTTAACTCTAACCTAGCTCAAACAAAGGCCGTGATCATAGAATATTACCATATTTGAGTAATGTTTTCAGCTATTTTTACCATCACATAATTGCCAGTCAATTCTCCATCAATTCAATTTACTTGTTAGGATGGACAGAAAGAAATTAATTGGCCATATGAAAAATCTATTAGTGTGATTATGTAAGCCACATCTGAAATGCTTTCATTTAAGATAATTTCTTATCTTTTCTCTGAGATGAAATACAGCGTGTAGCTTTATTTATAAGGCTCAGTTCAATTTCCTCCTGGACCCTCATGCCCATTAATAAACACCAGCATTAATTGCACATGTTGGGCAAAGGAAACAAGCACATGGTGTGTAATTATACTTCCAGCACACTGTTGGGTACATTCTCCTGAAACCTAGTGGCTTTTTCTTTTTAGGATTCCCAAAGATGTAGCTTGGTTGTAATGAGAACAATAAAAAATATTAGCTTATAAAAATGGTAATTTCAGTAAAGTCAAATACCAAGAGAAGCGAGGATGTCAGTATCATTTTGATGCTGTTCTGAAGGAAAGAAGCAGTAATCACTATTAGCTAGAAATGAGTTGCCAAGCTCTAGGGAAAACAGGCTGCATGCAAATATGCCTGAAGGAGCTGATAATACCAGGAATGGGGCCATTTTCTTCTATATGGCAGTGTTTTTTTTAACCTGGTGATCAAAAAATGAGGATCCTTGCTGGGTGTGTTTTTCTCTCAGCAGGATCAGCCAAGCTGTCTCTGAAGATCATGGTCCCAAGAGATGTTCCTTTTTTGATATACATGGGTTTTGCTGGGTTTTTTTTAATAGCTAAATGTACTTATTATTACAAATAGCATCAGCCTTCATTTAAGTGTAAAATGCTTTTTCTGTCTAATAAGGAAACAGTTGGTCCTGGTTTGACATGTAGTGTGCACCAAATGAAGGTCTACAAGTGTTCTAGACTTTGCATTTTAAAATGAGTTATGACAACATTAGTCAAAATCAACCCAACCCCTCATTAGACTTAAGCAAGTTTTATGCCCTGAATCATTTCTCTTCTAATTATCGTGAGGCCAGCTGCTACTCCCTGCATTTATGTAATCCACCAGAAAAGGAGAAGAAATAGTTGTCATTTTTCCCCAGGGCTAAAATGGTGTCAATTATCCAGAAGTTCCTACAATTGACTGTCCCAGTGAATAGAAATGCTATTAACATTTCTTCTTTACTCTTCAAATGACTCAGCCAGACCCTTAAAAAAGCTTCAACGTACTTTGCTATCATTGCTTTGAAGAGGAATAAAAGAGAGGAAAGGGAGAGCAGTAATGTCAAATTACTTCATCTCTATGTATTTCTTCACCTGTGAAATGTGCATGGGTTTATTATTAGCACATTCCATTTGATAAAAGTCACATCTCTCTCAAATTGCAAGTCCTAGTTAGTAGAAAAGACCATTATTCCACATGAAGTCTTTTACATATGTTATCTCATTTTCTCTTCAAAACACCCTTGGTGACTTAGGTATGATCATCAATTTATTCATAAGAAAAAGTAGGGCTTAGAGAGAGCAGGTGACTTGGGTGAAGCCTGGATCACCCTGGCTGCAGAGCCAATGCTTTTGGTATCTTTCCCCGTACCAAGCATCAGAGAAGTTTCAAAAGACAGCTGGTACCCCCTCTCAAGATGGGTGTAGCTTGGTTAAAGAGAGAAGACATTCGGGAAAATAACTAAAATACAAGCAAGGCCCTGAATATGTTAATTCCCCCATCAGTAATTCAAAGTTTTGAGGTTCACAATGTGAGATCCCTCTGGCCGTGGTGCTCAGAAAATGCTTCTAGAAAACAGTTGGCTTTTGCATCAAATGATAGTAATGGATTGTAATCCATTGAGTAAAATAAGAATCCGTGAGTCCATACAATGACAATAAAGAAATAAATGAATGAATAAAAGGATTAGAAAAAGCTCTGTCTTTACAGTAGAAGAAATGATCGAGTTTAAAGAGTACCATTTTGCCATTATTATAAGAATAATTGATTTGGGCAGGAGTCATCAATGGATGCTAAAACTCCTGGGTTAAAGAAGCAAGATATTTGTACAGCCTCAAGGTACCTCCTTATCAACTACACATCAATTACAAAGGCAAAGATAGTAACTTTCCATAGGAGAAACTGGCCAACAACACTTTAACCAACTGATCAAAGTTAACATCACCAGTAATGGCACCAAGCAACTCCTTGAGCCTCTGATGCAATGCCTTGAGAAGGACAGTATCACTTATGTGGTATCACTGCTAAAAATGCATAGTCTGACTCTTTCTCACAAGAAAACAGCAAACAAACCCAAATTAAGGGCCAGTGTACAAAACAACTGGCCTGAATTCCATTAAAATGTCAATGTCAAAGACAAAGAATCACCAAGAAACTGTCCCAGATTAAAGGACAGACTCATGACAAAACAGGGAGCATCTGATCCTGGTTTGGCTCCTGGAATGCGGGGAGGAGGGACAGTACATGGAACGTTATCGGGACAATTGATGAAATTGGAGTAAGGTCTGTACATGAGATAATAGTATTGTATTGATGTTACATTTCCTGATATTGATAATTAGACTATGATAGTCAATGAAATGTCAGCAAATGTCTGTGATTTTAGGAAATACACATTGAAGTATTTAAGAGTAAATTTGCATCACATCTGCAAATTACTCAGTGTGGGGGAGGAAATGTATATAAATACATATGTGCAAATTACTCTCATAGGATTTGGGAAAAAATAATGTGCGTGTGTGTGTATTTGGAGGAGGAATGACAAAGTAAAATGTGGCAGATGTCGATGAATGAATCTGGGTGAAGGGTAGATGAGAACTTTCTGTACTTTTCCTGCAACTTTTCTGTAAGCTTCAAATTATTTCAAAATCAAAATCTTTTTTGTAAAATTGACTTTCGAACTGCACATCCCAGGTACCCATATTTATAGTCCTTATCAATCTATGCTTTTTAATTACCTAAAAATTTCTGTCTTCGAAAAGATGCTAGTTTCTAGCTTCCTTAGCATTACCTAAACTTGCCTGGCTATTCCTGTCTTATGTATCTCCCTCTTTTTTGATAAAACTCCTTATTATTTAAATTATTATTAACAGCTAGGCTTATTAAACACCTACTACATACCAGGTCTTGTGTGTATTATCTCATTTGCACCTCACGAAAATCCTCTGAAATGTTAATCCTTTTATATAAATGAGAAAACTGGGATTCAGAGAAGTTAAATAATGTGCAGAATTTCAAACAGCTGTAGCTGTAGAACCCAAACTGAATGCAGATGTGTCTGACTCTGGATTCCACATTCTTATTGTCTCTGCTGTGTTGCTTTCCTTGGAAGATTAAGAAAGGTACCACTTTGACCGGACACAGTGGCTCACACCTGAAGTTCTCACACTTTGGGAGGCCGAGGCAGGAGGATCGCTTGAGCCCAGGAGTTTAAGACCAGCCTGACCAGCATAGCAACGCCTCGTCTTTACTAAAAATCAAAAAGATTAGCTGGGTGTGGAGGCACATGCCAGTAGTCCCAGCTACTCGGGAGGCTGAGGCAGGAGGATTGCTTGAGCCCAGGAGATTGAGGCTGCAGTGAGCTGTGATTGAGTCATTGCACTCCAGTCCTCCAGCCTAGGCAACAGAGCAAGACTCTGTCTCAAAAAAACAAAACAAAAACAGAAATAGGTACCACTTAAAATTTTACACTGTTATTTCTTACATCAAAAATTGTCTCCAATCTGCTTTATGTATAGTCACGTTATCTTCAATTGTTAAAAATTTTAAAAGCAGAGCTCAGTCTTAGGTTGTCTTTGGATATTGGACAACACGTAGTATCCTGCCAGTGCTGAGCGTATAATATATACTTAAAAATTATGTTGATTGATGGAGTCTTAGAAAACATGGAAAGAAAATTATCATATCACTTTCCAGAGATTCTGAAAATTAAGTCTCTTTTTTTCAAGTGAGTTAAAACTAAGTATTCATTATAGTAATCTGTGGTTTCTCAAGCACTTTGCCTTTTGTAAAGCACTTCGTCGTTTTCTCTGTGTTTTAAAGCAGAAATCCAGCCATCTACAGAGACGGTGGAAAGTCAGTCCACATGACCAAGTAGTCTTGTGATTGTTAGATTGGATGAAACTTTGATCTCAATTGAACCTTACAATGCTTGCCTGTTAAAATGGGGAGGAATTACTTCTTTTACAGATACAGTCTGAGGCTGAGTTTAGGACTTGCCCAAGAGGCCAGTTAGAACACCTGGTCTTGGTTCTTCCATCGCCTTGCTGAGGAGTGAGGCTCTGTTGAGTTGGTCTACACTTTTTTTTCATGCATTCACATCAGTTGTCTTAGTCAAGCAGTGTATCACGCATGCATTCATCACTGGGCTGACAAACAGTGTTGACAACCGAGAAGCAAATATTAGCGTTGCTTTATTTTAAAGCAGCCATATTTTTTCAAGGCCAATGACATAAATATATTTACTTTTTAAAAAAGATTAGTCAACTGCTCTGTAATAGGTACCTTGTAACCATATAATAAGCAGACACCTATTTTTAGTATTCATCTTAAATAATCATTTTGCATAGCAGGCTATTTACATCTGGCCCACATGCCTCTTTCAGACAACTCAATTATACATCTGCTCTTGACCAAGATGTGGGGGAGCATAAACAGGATGGCATTGTTAGGGGAAAAAGAAAGGAAGAACCTAAATCTGGCATGAAGAAATGACTCAGAAAGTGCAATGAGGGCAGGTGTTACATCTTATGAAGCCTCACTGGGAGACAGGATCAAATCACGAAAGCAACTCTCAGCTGGTTGCTTACTGATTCAGCTTTTCCAAGTCCTGATTTCTTGGCACTTCCTCTTGCAGAAGGAATGATGACTTTTTCTAGAAATTGGTAGTGATTTTTTTTAAACAGCTTTATTGATGTACAATTCACATACCATAACATTTACTCATCTTAAGTGGACAGTTTGAGTTTTAGTAAATTTATACATTTGTGCTACCATCACCATGATTTGGTTTTAGAACACTTCCACCACCCCCAAAAGTTTTCCCTGCTTCCTTGCCTGCTCCTGTCCCTGGCCTTAGGCAAACACTTAAATTGATTGTGGAAATTTTTTACTTTTGCCAGCATGTCACCCCAGCTACAGCCAACTGATCTATGGGTCAATTGTCTTGTCTCAGAGGGGTTGGTCTCAGTCTAGCTTATGGAGATGGCATAGCTTTGTAACTGTGACAACTATGGGTTTCGAAGTTGACGTTTGGCCCCCATGAGAAATGCCTTGGTGAGAATTGAGATATCCTTACTCATGTCATTCAGAAATCACAGATGTCTCTCATATTTTCTATCAGTAAGGCTCTCTCAGAATTGCCTGTTTGTATTCTTAATTCGATAGAAGATTTGGTTAAATTTTTTAAAAAGGAAAACACCATAAGGGTTAAGACAGTAGCATCTAGCTATTGTATTTTTGTTGTTTTAATTTCATGATGTTTGATGTCCTGCAACTCAAGCAGGAACAGATGATCACGTGGTCTCTTGCTTCTCATAGAAAAGCCCTGGTCTCATCCTTGCAGGAGTTTTCTTTTGCTTCTGGCCAAACTGCCATATCTGAAAAATCAGAAATAAAAGGCACATTTAATGTGGACTGGTTGGTTTTCCTCTTATTATTCAAAGGAGCACATGGAATATGGGGTAGACTTGAGTATCCTTTTAAAGATAGCTTTGTTAAAAAGCTAATTTATAGCCCCCTCGGCATAGCTCTAAAAAAAGAATCCGATAGAAAAAGCAGGATACAAAATTTTGCATGCAATATGCTCAAATTATTATGCTTTATATGAGAAGGGAAGAGCTGGAGAAAATTTAACAGAACAAAATTCCCCTGGTGGTTGTTTTTGTATGGTACAAACAGTATGGTTCTTCTCTGCTCCCTACACTGCCTTCTTTCTACTTTTCTGTGTTTTCCTAATATGAGAGAGTGCTTTTGTGCTTGTAAAAACTAAAAATAACCTACTGAATCGTATTTTCTTTAATGAGTCTCAGTATTCTTAACTCTAACAATTAACTAGCATTCCTTCTAGCTGACTTTGCCCAGTTGCCTTACAGGTTAATCAATGCCTCCAGCACTTCTACTCTGAACAAGTGAGTTTGAAGATTCACACCTGGCAGATGTTGAAAGGAGGTCAGCCATTGGCCTGGCAATCAGGATTCTTACTTTAGCATACCTAGCCTTACCCGTCTCCTGGTGAAATTGTTGAAATCTGAAGAGAGAGGCTTGCTAACTCAAGCTAATCAAACACACATGAAAACATAAGCCAGAATGCCAGTTCATAAAAATATAGGGAGAAGTAGAACCATCACCTAGACCAGACGTTCCAAACATTTTCCCATCACTTTTATACTTCTACTGGGGGTACTACCATGAGCTGCACTTGAGGGCCTACTGCACAGGCCTGCTACATGACGGATGTCCTTCATCACCCATCCTCCAAGCAGCCCTCCAAGATTGATTCCTGTCCTTTATTCTTAGTAGACAGGTTATCTCCAAGCTCTCCAAGGAGCTGCAAATTCTTCCCCTGAACTGCAATCATATTCCACCCTTTATTTCTGGTCCAATCAGAGCCCGAGACCTGATGGGTGAGGGGAAATCCCTTGTTCTCTTTTTATCTGCTTCAGCCCCCTTCTATCTTCAGATTCAGTGTTCTTGTCCAAAAACCGCCTGCTGATTTGATGAGCTACCTTCTAATTTAAATAGACACAAGATGTTTGGGTCAGGCGGTTGCTCATAGCATCCACCAAAGCCCAGTGTACCTGTATCACAGCATTCATACAAGAACATATAAAATCTTATACTTACTATAATTTCAAAAGACCCTGATATGTGTTTAATTGGAACTTAACACTGCATAGTCAAGAGAGAAGGCAGTGGTTTTCATTGTATGAAGAAATCGGGAAGAGAAACAGCTGTGGCTTTCAGGGTTCTGCGCCTAGAGGCTCAGCTGGGAATGGTAGGATTTGTTCAACCCTTAGTAAAGGTGCTTGGGATTCCTTCCAGAAAGACCCTGTTGTGTTGTTCTCATTGGTTATAGAAATGGCAGGGCACGGGTGGCAACCTAGTATGACAGCCAGGGCCTCCTGCAACAAAGCCAAGTGAAGAGCAAACCATAGCAGCCTCACCGTTTGCCTAGGATTTGAGTCCTTTCTGGGATTTAATGCACAAAAATGAATGTTAGTTATGCTGGAATTTTCCAAAAGAACAGGTGAGACGTCAATAACTTAGAGACTGGAAACATTTTTCAAAGCCCCAGCCGCCCAGGCTGGAGTGCAATGGTGTGATCTCGGCTCACTGCAACCTCTGCCTCCCAGGTTCAAGCAATTCTCCTGCCTCAGCCTCCTGAGCAGCTGGGATTACAGGCACCCACCACCACGCCCAGCTAATTTTTTTGTACTTTTAGTGGAGACAGGGTTTCACTATGTTGGCCAATCTGGTCTCAAACTCCTGATCTCATGATCCACCTGCCTCGGCCTCCCAAAGTGCTGGGATCACAGGCGTGAGCCACCGCACCTGGCCTGAGTTGTGTTTTATGTGGGATTTCTTGCTTAATAGATATGGCATCTGGTGAACTGGTAAACACAGAGTATATATCGGGTATATATCAGGTATAGTGCATGTTACCAGGAGTACAAGCCCAGCTCTAAATGTTTTGCAGACAAAAATATCGAACTTGTTACATAGCTCAGAACTCATAATAAGGACTTCATCAGGAAATCTAAATAGTTCTGATGTAATCAGAATTTATAAAGCCTATACAATATTTCTTGGCAATTGTATATCTCCTCTGCAAGGCTGATAAATATAAACAATTACATAAATACAGTTATTACTCAACAGTTATATGATCTTGTTTATGAGCTCTGTCTCCCCTTCACTTCCATTTCTAGGCAACTCCAAATGTCTGCAATTTCAAAACAGAATTTTACATTATACGAATAATACACAAATACATTTTCTGTATAAAAATACAATACAGAAAAAATTAAAATGTTTCTGACTACCACTCAATCCCACCTCTCCATAGACTCTGTATACTTTCAGAACTTTTCTATTTGTGTTCGTAGTTTTATATAGTTTTGTTTTTAGCATTCCTGCTATCACACTCTGTTTCATTCTGCAATTTATCCTGAGGATCTTTCTATGTGGCCATGTTGTTTTTAACTGCTACATAATGTTCTCTCCCATAATTTTGAGTGTCAACCATTCCTGTAATGACTAACATTTATATCATTTCCTATTTTTCCATTACTATTAACATTGCCTGTGATGAATATCCCTGTATATGCCTCTTCATGCATTTGGGTATTTCCCTGGAAGAGCTATCAAAGAAGTGTCCCGTTAAAGGATTAGTATGTTTTGCAGCTTAAACAGATACTGCCAAATTGTTCTTCAAAAATTTAATTCCACTTTACATCCCTACCAGCAGTAATACTGCAATTCTACTGTAGTCCTTTCTTTAGGTTAAGGCTTTTGGTTCAGTGGAGCACCGGCTATTAAAATGCAGATTACTCTGGCAGGGGCAATGAAATCCTTCAAACCTGAAAATTTTAGAGGCAGTTTTGCTGAAAGCTGGGGACAGACCAGGTCTTTGGGACTTCTAGGAAGCCAGGGAACAACCTAAAGATATAAGGCGCTAAGAGGTAGGAGTGGACTGGTCAATAGAATGACAGTTGATAACGAAGAGGTGCAAGATCAGTTGCAACTGGAGAAGAGCTGGGGAAGCTGGAAGAATAGTAGCAAAGAACTACCACCCTTCCATCAGACTTGGGAGGTCTGGGGAAGGGAGTGTTTTGTATACTTTTGTCCCTAATACCTTCTACACTACCCTACCCCAACCTCCTCCTTTTATTTCGTCCAGAGCCAGACTTTGTGTGTGTGCATGCTTGTTTTATGACTCTCCTTAGGCCATGTGTCACCTTTTAGGGGAACTGATGTCAAGACAGAGAGATCTCAGCCTAAACCAGCTCTGGGCCAAATTCTTTCCTGATAGATAATGATCATTTCTAAGACAACAAAGGCAAAACAAAACAAAACTGCTCACCCCAGTCACATTCCTAGTGGCCGCAGTTCCAAATGTAAATTTAGTGAAAAGTTTCTTGATTATTTATTTATTTATTTTGAGATAGAGTCTCACACTGTCACCAGGCTGAAGTGCAGTGGCGTGGTCTTGTCTCACGGCAGCCGCCACCTCCCAGGTTCAAGCGATTCTGCTGCCTCAGCCTCTGTAATCTCAATAGCTGGGATTACAGGCAACCAGTCACCACGCTCCCCAGCTAATTTTTGTATTTTCAGTAGAGACGGGGGGCGGGGGGGGCGGGGACGGGGTGGTTCCACCATGTTGGTCAGGCTGGTCTCGAACTCCTGACCTCAGATGATCCACCCACCTCGGCCTCCCAAAGTGCTGGGATTACAAGCATGAGCCACTGTGCCCAACCATAAATTTAATGAAAAGTTTCTGAGCATTATTCCCCCTCCCAAAGCATTTGACAATCTTAGGATCCTGGACAGACATTTATTCTGATTTTGAGAACCTTGTTCACCTGTTACAAAAAATGAGGAAGAAGGAAAATTATTTTACAATCTGGTACATATGTTTTACTCTCCAGTGTTTAATTCATTTAGTGAAAGAGTTGGAATTGATTAATTGTAGCAGATTATTTTAACAGAAGTCTTAAATTTGCAATGAACTTGGTATTTTTCTTTTCTTTCCTCTTTTTTCTGCCTATCACTAGTGCAACTGATTGTTCAATCAAAACTCTGAAGTCAGTGGCTCCCAAACACTGATGAACATCAGAATCACCTGGGGACTTTACACACCTCCCCATACCCAGGTGATACCCCATATTAATTAAACAGTGCCTGGGGATAGGAGCCAGCCATCAGTAATTTAAACTACAGTGATCCAATGGATAAGGGGGGGGGGGAAATTGGCTTGAAAAATATAATTTCTAGGAGGTATGAGATAACTATACAGTTAAATATTTCAAATACTCTAAGTTTTTTCCTTTGATCAAAGAGTGTCTGTGATACAATAGCTATATTGAACAATAATTTACAAAATAAGATAGAATACTAAAATTTGCCAAATTGAGACATTAAGGTGGGTGCTTGGTTGTCAAATTGAGTACAGAAAGAACAGAAATATCAAGAAAGCACTATAGTTTATTAGAAGTTTGCATGGTATACAGTGATACCACAGGCATGCTTTATGAACCTAAGAAAGGTCCCCTCAAAGAAATGTAGACAGATTTCTTAGTAACCAGCAGAGAGCACGGAGGAGAACCTCATTAAGGATTTAAAGGAATTGTTAAATATAGTGAACCCCAAATTTCTCTTTGAAGAATCAGTATGTCAGTGTGTTCAGCTCTCTTATTCTTTGATTCTCCATTTTAAAGTTTAACCTTCTGGTTGTCTTTCTCTCCTTGCTCCTAGTTTCAGTAAATAGCTTTACCACCAGTCCTAATCAGTAGTTCACATTTGTTCCCCTGGTCACCTGCTCCGTCCTGACTCATCCTGGTCACCTGTTTGACTTGAGTCACACCTGGTCACCTGCTCT